CGTAAAAGCTCAGGCCCTTATGATGAGACTCTCCATCCCTTTGTAACTTACAGAGCATCTCAATGGTTTCCAGGTGGCACTGACCACTAGGAAATTTCAGTGTCTTACCTTGAGATAGATCTCTTCCCTCCAGGCTGCTCTGATCCTTGTCACTTCGAGTCCTCCTTGTGCCCTGCCCTCGCTGGGGATGGTTCTTATGCCTATGAAAGGGAGAGAGAGAGAGAGAGAGGAAGAGAGTGAGATGCTGGAGGTCAGCTTCCCTCTGGGTTCTCTGGAGGTCCACCTGACGGTATCATTTGGCTTCTACATCCCTTCCTACATTCCCGTGGAGCTCTGTGCCTGCTTATGTCAACATGAGAGCTGATGGGCTTAAGGCTTCAGGGGTTGACATGCAGTTTCTTTCTTTCTTTCTTTCTTTCTTTTTTTGATTTATTTATTAATTTGACAGAGAGATTACAAGCAGGCAGAGAGGCAGGCAGAGAGAGAGGAGAGGAAGCAGGCTCCCCACCAAGCAGAGAGCCCAATGCAGGGCTCGATCCCAGGACCTTGAGATCATGACCTGAGCCCAAGGCAGAGGCCTTAACCCACTGAGCCACCCAGGTGCCCTGACATGCAGTTTCTAAAGAAGGCCCTGACCAGCCCCACATGTCTGGTGATGCGGATCCCCTGGAGCTCACTTCTCCAAGAGGAGCTTGAGGTAGAGGACACTCTGGGTAACCACCGTTTCCAAGCTGCCTGATTTCTTTGCAACAACCTCGACACCTGGGGAAAGAGAAGGGTTTTGGTAACCTGGTGGGCACTGGAGGCACAAGAACTAAGGAAAAGACTACTGAGCTCTAGAGCCACAGTCCTTTGAGACCATGACAGTGTCTCCTGCCCTGCCTCCCCCAGGCTTTCACTCTGTGCCACTCAGCCTTAGCTAATCCCTGAGCTGAGGCAGGGCCTGCCCTGGGATAAACACAAAATCTGGGGTGACTCCGGGATAATAATAAAAAAATTACAATGTAACAAATGGAATCCACATCCACAAACTCATCTGCATTTCTGTATTTTCTTTGAAATAATAAATCAATCTCAGAGTCCCCATCCTGCCAAGTTAATGGAAAATACATCTTCGTTTACACTGAGGTTCCCCCTGGATTGCCATTGGGTGAAGTGTTCTTGGGTCTTCTGGTGCAGAGCATTAGCGTAGCCCTTTTGCTAATTGACTGGTTACTACTAAGACCTTCTTTGTCCCGGTCCAAATGGTCCCTCACATGAGTCTCTGTCGCCCCAATCATGATAATCCATGAGGAGACCAAACCCAGCGAGCCAGGCTCCAGCCTTCCTGGGGCAGCATGCACTCTTTCTAATACCTGCTACCCTTGGGGCTCTGTCCAAGAGCGGGCTGAGGCTTCCCACTGTGCACAAATCCCAGAGACCTCAGTCTCCTTCTCTGGAAGACAGCATTCTTTTCCCTTGTTCTCAAGCCCCTCTTCAGTCGCTCTTCATCTCCTGGAAACATCTATTCATTGAGTTTAGGTACTTAAAACCGGTAGAGATTTCAAGCAATTTCTGCTTTTGGTCTTCAGGAAAAAAGGTGCAGATGCTAGAAAATGTGTTTTAGTTAGGGTATGGACTCAAGACACAAATGTGTGATGGTGACTTGAATAGCAGCATGGGGGTGAGAAGTCTGGGCAGCTTCTCTCTTCCATGGGCTTATCGCCTCCACGTGGTCTTGTAGGGATGTAGGCTCCTTTTATCTTCTCCTTCCAATAGTTCCCAGGATGGTGTCCTTATCCTCATGGCCAGAGCGGGGTGCGCTCCATGTCTGTGACCCAACCCATAGAAAAGGGAAAGAGAGGAAGCCCAGGACCTACAACTTGTCTTTTAGGTGGTGATCTGGAAGTTCTCATGTCATTTGTATTACCAATCCACTGACTGACCTAATTCTTAAGACCACCTGTGGTTGCAAAAGAAAAATTATACTGAGGGGAAATCTAGTACCACGAAGAAGAAAAAATATATTAGGGATATTAGGGCTGTTTAAAATATTAAAATACTAATCTGCTTAAAAGGGAAAACATAAGGAAAAGAAACCATAAATTAACATTTTAACAAGTTATTAGTGTCATTAGCAACATTGTCATTTCCTTCTCATTATTGAGGACCAGTTTATATGCCTGTCACTCTGTGAGATTTACATGTATGTAGTATCTCCAATCCTTTCCAGTAATTCTGTAAGGAAATTACAGCCCTTGAGTTATCTGGGGATCTGTGGTGTCTTTTTATTGTGTCTATTTAGAGAAGTAAAATTACTTCTCCATATGATTTGAGATTGGGGTTGGCCACAAGAGAAATCTGGGCGAGATTTGAAGACAAACGAAGCTTCAGCCATTTCTACACCAGGCACAGGGGCAGCTCCTTCATGTGGCCGCTGGTCTGCTGCTCCCCTTTTTGGCACGGGGTAGCATCCCAGCTTCTAGCTCCACCCCTGACTGCTGGATTTTCTCCTTCAGCATCTCTGAGGCTTGGGCCAGGTATGTGTGCAGCTCTGTGAGGAAGGGTGCCAGCTTTTCCCATCGGTCACTCATGTTATCAAAGTTGAGGTAGTTTGCCCTCATGGCTTCCATTTTAGTTCTTCTGGACTATCCTTGCTCTCCCCATTTCCTGTCTTCCCTCTCTTATATAAAATTGTCCAGCACATACTACCATTGTATAAAGTCTAAATATTATAATAGATCCCTTCCCCTGTAGCGCTCATGATAGTAGTTCTCTGATAAAATCCTAACTGATACAGACACTTTGTTCCCAACAACTAAAACTTCAGCCTGTGTGGTCTCTTATGCCTAGTCATAGCCACACAGGTGGTACTGTGGTCCCCAGATTTCTTTAGGCTTTCTGCCTCCTGGGTCCACTATAAGAACAGTATGGCAAGATCTTTCTTGAGGCAGGCAGGGGTTGAACACCTAGGCATAGCACGGTCATGGACATAGCCTGGGTCAGCTCCCAAAGGGCCCTACTGAGTTTCTGACAGAGGCACAGAGAATTGCAACAGGTCTGAAGATCCTTCATGCAATACTATCATTCTGAAGATAAAACGATATTCCTTACATCATCTTTATAACTGAATATATCTATATACATATATACTTTGTACTATTATAAATAATGTATGTTTCTTTTGGAGGGGAGGGAAGCGGTGCTTTGCTTTGTCCATAGTCCCTAATCCCTGGGAATCAGGAATAAGAAAATATTACAGATTTACAGCACCAAATCAAACAAACAAAAATACAGTGCAAACCTTTTCTATAAACAATGTAGTCAATCAAATATTTACTGAACAGCCACTTCATACCAGGCACTCTGCTAAGCGCTTTAAAGGAGCTCCCTGATGAATAAGACATGACTCCTGCATTTTCACAAAATAGTTAAGAAAACAAAGTGCAACAAGTGAACAGTTAAGTAATACGAAGGAATTAAGAATTGAGAGTTTGTTTATACAAAGCACAGCAAAGAAATTACATACTAGGATTGCTTCTGAGCAGTGCTCTGTAAGTAATTATCAGTGCAAGGGCTGAGTAATGTGAAGAATCCTTCAACTGCTTCCAGTCCGGCTGGATATGTATCTCCGTGAACATCAGCACCTCGGCTATTCATTTCCATGGTAACTGGAAAGTCTAGCAGAGTGATCACACTAATACTTACCAAGGTAATTAGAATAACAATAGAACTTGCTGAGGCTAACTATGTTGCAGGCCCAGGCAACATGCTTAGCTAGTATTATCTCATTTAAATCCCACACCAACCCTATGAGATAGTGACTATCGCTAAGGCTCAGAGACGGTAGATAGTTTCACCTGGTGTAAGTGCTAATGAGTAGGATTTGAATCCAGGACTGTTTGGCTATGACTCACAGTTCAAAGTCAGGATGGGAAGCTGCCTCATCTCTTCGCACCTCCTTTTGAGAGGAAAGAATGAAGACAGACTTAACCGGAGTTTTACAGGGGAACAGGTTGGTTGGAGACAGGGGAAGCAAGTATGTTCTTGGTAGGTTTGCCAATAAACTTAATGGGAGAAGGAAGAGTTTGTGGGTGTGTGTTCACACACATGTTGCTAGAAAGACATATTTTCATCCAAAAACTTCTAACTATGGGGCTGGTATGTGCTTCATAAAGTGGAAAAAAGAAGGAACATGGAAGTTTGTTATTCCTAACCCGTGGTGGGAGAGTGTATGTAAGAATAGTCTAAATTTTAACAACAAATTTACGAACTTAAGGAACGATCCAGAAAGCTGAAGTTTAGTTTCTAAAAAATGAGCGAACTTGGGGGCCTAGGTGGTCCCATCAGTTAAAGCGCCAGACCCGTGACTTTGGCTCAGGTCATGGTATCATGGGTTGTGAGATCAAGCCCTGTGTTGGGCTCTGGGCTCAGCAGAGAGTCTGCTTGAGAGTCTCTCTTCCCCCTCCCTCCGGCCCCTCTCACTCACACTCTCTCTCAAGTAGGTAAATAAATCTTTTAAAAAGTGAGCAAATTCGGACGCCTGGGTGGCTCAGTTGGTTGGACGACTGCCTTCAGCTCAGGTCATGGTCCCGGAATCCCGGGATCGAGTCCCACATCGGGCTCCCAGCTCCATGGGGAGTCTGCTTCTCTCTCTGACCTTCTCCTCGCTCATGCTCTCTCTCACTGTCTCGCTCTCAAATAAATAAATAAAATCTTAAAAAAAAAAAAAAGTGAGCAAATTCTTGCATGAGAATCCATTATCTTTCTAGCAGAATGTCTCAGGAACCCCTGGGAGCAGCGGTGTGCTGCAGCTGACTTGTTCAAGCTTGTGAGAACCAACGGTTACATTTGTAGGAACTTCTCAAGCAGGTTGACATCATGTTGGTGTTGGGAGTATTTTATACTATGGAAATCCATAAATGCTATAAATCACCCAGGGAACTGGTTGTTAAGTATTTGCCAGCACACCGATGTCTAGAGGCAAAAAAGGTTTTAATCAGCACCGTTTCACCTCCCAGGACCCTTGGGAGACCAAATGGGGAAAGCGGGAGTAGAGCTGGTGGAGGGAAGGAGGATGGAGAAGATAGAAGAGTTGGAGCAAGTGGCGAATTTGATACGGAGAGAGATTCTTGCATCTGGCTGCATGTCAAAAGGACCTGGAGAACTTTTACAACATAGATCTGTAGATCCAGGGAAGGGACCTGGCCCATTTGATAATTGGAGCAGAGTAACACCCCCTTCATTTTGTGACAAAATTATTTTAATTGTAATTATGCAATGATCAGTAGTGACTACATAAGATATCATGATATGAATAATATACATAGGACATATGTTGTACATAATGTAGATATAATAAATAATGTATGTGAAATAACATTGTCTTGACTCAATTTTATAAATAGTTAACAATTTGAAAGAAGAAATTTTAATTTAAAAATATTATTCAAGGGGTGCCTGGCTGGCTCAGACCATATAGCATCTCACTCTTGATCTCAGGGTTGTGAGTTCAAGCCCCACATTAGACATGGAGCCTACTAAAAAAAAAAATTATTCAATACAATAGTTCAAGTATGAAATAAAATTTGCTCATCCCAAAATATATGTTGTACTTCATAATTTATACTCTATTTCACCATAATAATTTGTGCACCATATGCACAAATAAAAACTCCAGGTGATTACATAGAATGGCAAATTTGAAGTAACTCAAGTTCTGTTTCTTCATCTTGACTAAGACTATTACCATGGGTTAGTCTGAATTATTTAGAATGCTGGAAAATCTAGTACTATGGATGTTGAAGACACAGATTGAATCCCAAGCAAGCCTCCAACTTCAACCATTAAAAAATTCCTCTGGGGGTACCTGGGTGGCTCAGTCAGTCAAGCATTTGCCTGAGCTCAGATCATGATCCTGGGATGTTGGGATCCAGCCCCTTCATGGTGTTCCCTGCTCAGCAGGGAGTCTGCTTCTTTCTCTCCCTCTGCCCCTCCCCCCACCTCATGTTCTCTCTCTCGCTCTAGCTCTGCTCTCTCAAATAAATGAAAGCTTTAAAAAAATTAAAATATTTATTAAAAATATATATAAATGTATATAACTTAAACCAAGTGCTTAGAACTCAGACCAAAAAAACCTAACCAAACAATCAACCAATCAAACAAACAAACAAACTAGATTTTGGAGAAATATTTGATCACTGACAATGTTTAGAATGGTTAGCACATGGTGATAATAAAAAGCAGGCTGACTCTTAGTTGGTTCTATTATCATTCTTTAAATTCTCTAAAAGACAATGCACCCACTTATTGCCTGTACCTGGGTGTACACCTCCCACCAGCCTGCCCTTGGGGGGGGTCTAGGGTGCACGGCCCTCCTGCCATCACTGCTTGGATCCCACCTCAAGGCAAAAGATTCAGAATCTTTTCAGAGGGGAGACCCCAGAAGTCTATATTTGTGAAAAGCTCTTCCATGAGATTCCAGTGATCAACCAGGTCTGGGAGCCACTGATATGGCAACAAGACAGAAATACCTGTGCTTCAACATCAAAGGAGAAGGGGGGAGGCCAGTATGGCTGAGGAGCTGTCCCAGTCTCCAAATTCTGGAAACCCAGTGGGGTTGGTTGGCAGATGGACTCTCATTGAGAGCAAGCAGGTTAAAAGAACCTCTAAGGTCAACTATAGGGAGTTTTTCCTTTGTGTCATGAAAGATCTTTAGCTCACAGATATTCACAGGTTAAAACAAGAAAACACATCCTTTTATTTAACCATAATTTAGGAGTCTATTTTTTTACTGCCTTTCTTCGTAACTTTTATAAAAAAATTTTTATCAGAAATTTTTATCGTCTGTTTTCCCTTACTTGTCCTCCCCTGACAATCTCAAAAAAAACCTATTATTAAAATTGTCAGATTTTTAAAAATTTGTTAGTTGTTACTCTTCTGCTTGAATACCTTCAATGGACTTCCCATCTTACTCCCAGTAAAAGCCAAAATCTGGGTATAGCTACCAAGCCTTATACTGTGCCCCTCTTCATCCCAGCACTCTACCTCTTCTGATTATGTCTTCATTTCCTCCAGCTGCATTGGCCTCTTGCTCTTCCCCCAACTCATTGGGCATTCCCACCTCAGGACCTTTTGCACTGGCTGCTCCTTCTGCCTGGAACAGTCTTCCTTCAGAGGAAACCACATGGCTCCCTCCCTTACCTCCTTCAAGTCTGTGTTCAAATCTCTCACCTGATATTTGAGAGCTTTATTTTCCTCAACTGCACTAACATCATGTGACATACCGTATATTTTAGTGTTTACTTATTCTGTCCCCTCTACTACATTTCTGAAGGCAGGATTTTTGTGTATTATGTTCAGTGCAAATATCCAGGGCCTGGATTCTGCCTTGCACATGGTTAGCACTTAATAAAGGGATATTGAATGAATGACTCAAAATGCACACAATCAAAATTTAATAATAATAATAATAATAATATAGACTTATTAAAAAAAACTCCTGGGCCACAATGCTTTATACTCAGTCAGATTTCCAGAGGTAACCACTTAGAAATTTTTAACCTGTTTTCTGTGAATTTACCCCTAGATCTCTAAATAACATGATTTTCTTTACATTATCTATGGGTACCCTGCTATGGTGGAACTGAATTTGATTCTCTTGCACTTTTCCTTTCCTCATCTTTGTGTTTAACTAGGACAGTGCAGTTACTTTTACTCTTGTTAGTTTATTCTTCATCGATCTATTACAATGTGGTTACTATTGTTATTTTTATTTCTTTTATTGATAAATCTTTAACTTCATTATATTCTACCAGATTCCCATTCAACTCTCTGATACAGTATCTTTTGCCTCTTCAGCTGGTATGATGAGGACATTAGCCCCTTATTCTCTTTCTACTCTCCTTCTCCTGGCCTTTCTTCCAGCTGTCCTTGTCTTTCTGGGGCAGCAGTCTTCATCCCCATGATAGGACTTGAATTTCATGTCTCTTCATGGGAATCTTCAAAAGGATCTCTAGGAGGATGTGGCTGCTTTTAACAGACAAGTTACTTCATGGGGTCTCCCTTTTAAATTTGGACGGAGACAGCGGACAGCAGGTCAGGATTTTGCCAGGAGTGGGGGGAGGATAGAACTTGCAGGGCAGCCTTGGTAGTGAGTGCTCTAGTCTGGGGCTGGCCTCACCTGGACACACCCTGTCACCTGCTTCTAGGCACCCCCAGGGGTAGGTAGGAGGGGCACACCTCTCAGGAGAGGACTGAGGTTAACCAACTTTCCAGGACCCCTGTGCCAATGCAGGTCTTTCTGATGAGAAGCAGACTGTTAGGCCCAAAGGGATGGCCATATTGGCAAGATTAACATCCTACCTCCCAGTAGACAGACAGACCTAAGAAACTAAATTATAATCAAAAGGTAGCTTACTGAGCATAGAGTCAAAACAAGGCGTTGGATGGAAAGGACAATAGACAATCACAATAGAAGCAGAGAGCCCGCTCAACCCCCTCTCAAGGGAGAAAAGTTTCTGCTAACGTGACCATAGCTCTTTAAGGTCTGTCGTCTGTGATGTCCCTCACTGGCGCTGCTTCCTTTCTACATCTCCAGCACTGATTAATCCCCTTTCGGCCAGTGGATATTTTAAAAATTTCCATAATTCTCATTACAATCAAGCCTCATTGTTCTGAAAGGCATCCTCCCTAAGATAGGTTAGCACATGTCTATTAAAATAATTTTCTGAGAGCCATCTTATTTCCCTCCCTCCCAGATTCACAGTGAGTCACATCACTATTGCCTTCAGGTAAGAATATAATGTCTATTTTCTATTGATTGAAGGCATCCTGGAAATTCAGTAACTCATAAATATAACGAACAGAGCATCGTATTTCTGTAGTAAGCACATTTCTGAAATGGATGGAGGCATTTCTGTGACAGCCGGAAGACTGGTTGGATGTCAGACCAAGTTCATGCTGGGCCTGAACATGTTTATAGCTGCTGTGACTTAATGATTTAACACCAGATGCTCTATGAGATCTTAAGGAGAACTGCACAAGGAATACCAGAGTTAATCAACTAGGGTTGGCTTAGGGTTTCTTTGGAGTTGTTTTCCGTTGTACAGATCTCCATAATAGGGTAGCTTATGATACAGCAAGATGGAAGGAAGGGATTAGATGAACAAACCTAAAGGGGAAACAAAATTAAATACATTCATTCACTTACGGAGCATTTAATTAATATTTATTGAGCACCTACTATCTGCCAGGACCTGTCCTAAATCTTGTAGATATAATAAATGACAAACAAGGCAGATTGCACTATCTGACCTCATGGAGCCAACAATCCAGGTGACAAGATAAAGTTAAACAATAATTATGCAAGTAATTAAGTTACTAAAACTCAGAGAAGTGCTAGGAAAGAGAAGAAGAGGGGCTTTGGAAATGTAAAACAGGGAGGACTGATCTGATCTGGGTTAGGTGGAATGGGTTGGAGACCACATTCCTAAGGAAGTGGTGTATAAATCAAGACCTGAAGGATGGGCGTGGGCTAACTTAGCAAGAGATTGGGAAGAGTGTTTCACGTAGAGGGAACAGTGTGCACAAAGACTCGGAAGCAATCAGGAACACAGCGTACTAGGGGAATTGCTAGGCCAAGTTGGGAGAAGAGTATCCATCAAGAGACTTACAGGGAAAAAAAGCTCTTTGGGGGAGACCCCTACGGAAAAAAAAAAAAAAAAAAAAAAAAAAAAGAGACTTACAGGGAAAGATGAGTCCTGGAAAGAAAATCATAACATTCCTAGGTGGTAACAATTACACTGTTTACCGGATGGAGGAGTTATTGTTTAGTTCCTATGTGTAGAATTTAGTTACCCTTTCCACAAGGAAAAAGTCATTATGCTAGTCCATGAGGTGGTCAATCTTTTAGGTACCCTAATAATTCTCATAGCTAGGACTTCATTTATTTCATCTCCTCCAATTTTAATAAATTCAAAATAAATACTTGTGCAAACCAGAATACCTAAAATTTTCTTAGTGGATGAAGGTTAGACAAATAGGTCATCCGGGTTAAAGAGGACTTCCATCCCCTTTGTTATCTATGTTCTTTGGAGTTCTTCCTGGTTTGCAAGGTGATCCTGACAGTTCCAGTGTGCCTTCGAAAGATACGTGTCATTTTTGAAAATCTTTTACAGAAAGATGAAAAGATAGAAGAAAACAAAGCTTAGACTCCCAAATCGCTGTGGTCTCATTGGATTTTCTTTTGTTTCCTGTTTTCAGTTAAAAAGTATCG